GAAACTCCGTCTCAAAAAAAAAAAAAAAAAAAAAAAGAAAAGCATGTTTTTAGTGAGAGAACTGCCTTCTATTGGATGATTTCTTGCTAACATGTTTAAAGATTTTGGACTTCTCAACTTTTTTGGCTTTCTGGTAGCCAAACCCACCACTGCCGCCTCGCTTTTTCTGCTTGCCTTCACTGCTGTTGATGTTCAGATCAACAAAGGGAGGTACCTTGTAACTGACGCTTGTCTCCCCTTAACAGTTCTAAATTCAGGGGATAGAGGAGTAAATTTAGTTCACATCTCAAAAATCCATTGGTCAGATATTAATGGACATGCTAAATATGAGTTTAATACTGAATGGATTAATAAATCATAGGATAACTATTCTAGCAGGGATTAATTACAGAAACAATGTATTATATAACGTGGTAAATGCTACTAAAGAGATGTGAACAACGTGTCTTAGAAGCAGAGCACAGAGCAACTGCATCTGAGTGCCACTATTTCCCATGGTACAAGGTATAAGGTAGGTATGAGGAGATAAGAGATTCAGCGAAGGAACAGAAGAGAAGTGCGTGTGCAGAAGCATAGACTTGCAAGGTATGTGAAGTTTTAGTAACTGTGAGGATAGTGGCTGAATTTGGTCTGGAAAATGGTGGTAGCAGAAAGGTAGACTTAGTTTCAACAGTGAATGATACTAAAGTCTTGTTTGCCAGGCTAAGTAGTCTGGATTTTATTCTACAGTCAATAAAAAACTGTAATACAAGGTGGTGACATGACCAATTGATTTTTGTTACTGATACAGACATTATTTTAAAAACTCCAATAATGCGAAAGAGGATGGCTTAGAATAGTGGCCCGGAGAATTCCTAACAAGTTATAATAATAATAGTTGAGACCTAATCCATAACAGCAGTGGAGAAAAGAACTTGGATTCTAGACAATCGAGCAGGTGTGGGAGTGAGATGAGGCACTCTAGATAGAATGAAGGAGGAATAAAGATTGGTGAAAGCTAGTAGAGTGATTCAAGTTTACTAACAGAAGAAAAGCACAGTTGGTCGACCTTTGGTATCCCTGGGGGACTGGTTCTAGGAACTCTGAGGATACCAAACTCCACAGATGATTAAGCCTGTATATAAAATGGTATGTATCTGTATATAACATATGTACACTTTCCGATACATTTTAAACATGTATGGATCACCTGTAATACCTAACACAATGTACATACTGTATATACAGTTGTTATATTTAAAAAGATGCACTTTTTAAATTGTTATTGTTTTTTCCCCAATATTTTCAATCCATAGTTGATTAAATCTGAGATGCAGAATCTGCTAATACAGAGAGCAACTTGTACAGGAAAATTAGTAAGTTTCAGGGAAGAAAGAGGAAATGCAAATAATGTTAAATTTTTAGATGTGCATGGTGGCTCATACCTATAATCCTAGCATTTTGGGAGGCCAAAGCAGGAGGATTCCTTGAGGCCAGGAGTTTCGGACCAGTCTGGGCAACACAGTGGGACCCTGTCCCTACAAAAAGTAATTAGGCAAGATGGAATGTGCCTGTAGTCCCAGTTACCTGGGAGGCTGAGGCAGGAGGATCACTTGAGCCCAGTAGTTTGAGACTTCAGTGAGCTATGATCGCACCACTGTGCTCTTGCCTGGGCAACAGAGTGAGACCCTGTCTCTAACTATAGAAATTTAGTCTATTGATAGTAACTGAAGTTGTGGAAAGGGATAAGATTATCCAGAAAATAGTTAAGCGATGGAAAATAAACAATCAAAGGCAGATGATTCAAGAAGCAAAGAGAAGAGAGTTCTGAGAAATTAGACAAATGCCTAGTGGAGGTTCTACGTAGAATGAGGATGTGTAGCAGGTAACTGAATTTAACAACTAGAAATGTAGGGTGTTCTTTTTTTTTTTTTTTTCTAATTTGAGTTTATTTAGTTTTTAGGCAATATATGTACTTTCAACAACTTGCAATCTTTGAAAGCTAAATTCCTCAAATATCCAAATAATACTTATTTGATTACAGAAAGCAATGTAAGTATAAATAGGATAATGTGCTGTGGTTACACCTTAATAAATGAAGCCTATCATTCTTCATGTCAGCTGAAATTCTCAATTAAGTGGCAAGCCTTTGAACATCGTAAACAATATAGTAATAAAAAAAAGTCTGTGCTCATTTCTTTGAAATTTTGGTTAATCATTAAGTATTCATTAAATAAGGATAAGATGTATTCTAATTTCCAATGTGAATGGACAGAGAACTGGAAGTTATTGATCTTACAGTATGTCTATTTTATTTGAAGTTGGTTTAGACAGAACAAAAATTAATTTCTGTATTATTTCTTTGGAAGCTTTTAAGAAAGCATTTATACACATGGGCACACGGAAAAAACCTGTACAGTATACATCCCTATACTCAACATCTGGAATTTTTTTTTTGAGACAAGGTCTCAATCTGTTGCCCAGGCTGGGGTGCAATGGCATGTACACGGTCACTGCAGCCTTGATGCTCAGGGCTCAGGCAATCCTCCCGCCTCACTCTCTGATGTAGCTGGCACCACCATGCCTGGTTCATTTTTTAATTTTTTCTAGAGAGGGGGTCTTGCCATGTTGCCCAGGCTGGCCTTAAACTTCTGGGCTGAAGCAATCGTCTTGCTTGGCCTCCCAAAGTGCTGGGTTTAAAGGTGTGAGCCACTGTGCCTGGCTCTGACATCTGGATTCTAAATCAAACATTGTACTATGTGTTTATTACACACATATCCATCCCTGTTTCCATGAATCTGTTTTTTTTTTAAATGCATTTCAAAGAAAGTTTCGGACATTTGCACACTTCACTCCTCAACAGTTTAACATGCAAATCATCAATTACAGTTCAGTATTTATTCAGTTCTTTTCTAAATAATAAGATTTGTAACTGTCATGATGTATAAATTTTATTAAGTCTATCATTCAACAAGTTTTGAAATGTATACACACGTGTTGCACAAACCTTATCAACATATACAGAACATCTGAACATCCTGCAAAGGTCCGTCATGTCACTTTTCTAAGTTAATTCTTGGTGACAATCATCTTTTAGAGACAACTACAGTTGTGATTTTCTTTTTAAAATACTTAAAATTTTTTTATGCCCTAACCCTTGATTTTTTTCATCATAGATTACTTCTACCTTTTCAAGAACTTTATATCAATTTAATCACATAGTATGAACTTTTTCCAGAAAGGCTTCCTACACTAAGTATGTTTTTCAGATTCCTCCATGTTGTTGAGTAAGTCAATTGTTTGTTTCTTTTAAGTGAGGAGAAAATTCATTCTACTACATGAGTGCATAATGGTTTGATTAGCCATTTTCCTTTGAGATAAACACCTGGGCTGTTGTCAGTTTTTGGCTGTTACAAATGAATTTCCTACGAACATTCTAGTGGAAATGTTTTTAGGTGCATATGCTTTCTTCTCTCTTGGGTAAGCAAGGGAACTGCTGGATCACGGATTAGGTTGTTGATCATTTTGTAAGAAACTGCCAGTTGCTCCACTTCTCACCAACATTTGGTAGTCAGTCTTTCTAATTTTAGCCATTCTTGTGGGTATACAGTGGTATCTCACTGGGCTTTTAATCTGCTTTTCCCTCATGTCTAGTAATGTTGAATACTTTTATTATGCTTATTTGCCATTCACATATCTTCCTTTTGTGAAGTGTTTGTTTAAACTTTTTGCCCATGTTTTAAATGGGTCTTTTTTTTAAAAAAAATCACTGAGTTATATGAATTTTTAAATATATATTCTGGTATATTAATTTCCTACTGGTACTGTAACAGGTTGCCAGACTTTATGTTTTAAACAATACAAATTTATTATTTTATAGTTCCAGAGGTCATAAGTCCAAAAATCAAGTCTTACCGGTCTGAAGTCAATGCTTTGTACGGCTGGTTCTGTCTGGAGGCTCTATGGTAAATCTGTTTCCTTGCCTTTTCCAGCTTTCAGAGGTTCCAAAGAATAGGACGTGGACAACTTTATTTATTTATTTTTGGAGATGGGGTCTCACCATGTTGCCCAGGCTGGTCTTGAACTGAGCTCAAGTGATCCACCTGCCTTGGCCTCCCAAAGTGCTGGAATTACAGGCATGAGCCGCAATGCCCAACAGGACATGGACATCTCTAGAAGGATGTTTTTCAGCCCACCATACTTGGATATAATTTTTTTGTCTAATCTATGTTTCGTGAATATTTTCTCCTCAATGTTTTCTTACTTTGGATACCATTTCTTTGTCAGATACAAAATTGTGGTTATTTGAGTCTGTGGCTTGGCTGTTTCTTAATGATGTCTTTTGAAGAATGAAAGTTTTAAATTCTGATGACATCTACTTTAACAGTTTTTATTTTATGATAATTACTTTCAAGGGCCATGTCAAAAAAAGTCTTAAGTACTCCAAGTTGCAAAAATACCCACCTATTTTTTGTTACATATTTATAGTTTTAGCTATTCCATTTAGGTATTATCTCAGATTAATATTGGTATATGGAAGTTTATTTCCATAAAGATGTCCAATTTTTTAGCACCATTTACTAAACAAACTTTCCTTTCTCCATTTGTTTGCTTTGTTGCCTTTGTTAAAAATGAAATTGCTATTTAAGTATGGATCTATTTCTGGGTTTTCTAGTTCGTTTCATTTCTGTATTTGTCTTTCCTTAAGCCAGTGCTCTATTAGCCTGATACTGAAGCTTTATAGTAAGTATTGAAAACAGGTAATGCAAATCTTCCAACTTGTTCATTTTTTGTGGGGAAGAGAAGGTCACACTATGTTGCCCAGGCTGGAGTCCAGTGGGTATTCACAGGCATGATCATAGCACCCAACAGGCTTTAACCTCTAAGCTCAAGCAATCTTCCTGCCTCAGCCCCCTGAGTAGCTGGGACTACAGGAGTGCACCACCACACAGGGCTTCAAGTTTTTTCAAGATTGCTTTGGATATTCTAGTCCTTTGCATTCCATATGAATGAAATGCAAAAAAGCCTGCTGCCATTATGACTGAAAGAACACCGAACTGATAGAACTCACAATATATTTCGTGATTTTTTGTGTGGGGGGGCTTCCTTTAATTTATCTTAGCAATGTCCTCTAGGGTTTTTTGGCTTAAATTTATTCCTAAGTATTTTGTGTTTTTTGATGCTACTTATTTCTCTAATTGTTCACTTCTAGTATATTTTGGGTAATGATTTTACGTTCTGCTATATTCACTTATCAGTTTTAGTGCTTGTTTTCTAATCTGAAAATACATTAGTATTCCTTTCTGATTTTTATATATTTTCTATCTTATCCTATCTCACAGATTAGGAATTCAAATACAGTGCTTAATACAAGTCATATAAACCATGAAAATACGAATCCTTGTCTTACCCTCCCCCTTTATGGGAAAAGTATTCAATATTTCACCATCAAGTGCAATTTTAGCTATTGGTTTTTGTAAATGCCCTTTTTCAGACTGAGGAAGTTCCCTTCTATTCCTAATTTGTTTAGACAAAAGGACATATGCAAAGTTATGGAGAAAGAGTATGAAACTTTCAAAACAATAATAAGACATGGAGGGGAATGGCAAGATATGAAAAGTAGAAAGATAAACACGAGTCTAATCTAAAAATTCATGTAAAAAATTTGACTTTATTGTCTTAATGAAGACAATAAAAGTCACTAAAGCAGGCATATGAAAGGAAAATTTGAATTTTACAAAGATTACTTTGACTCCAGTGAAGAAACTGAAAATAAATTTAAAAAGTATTGCGGTCATCCGACACTGACCTTAGAAATGGGAAATAAGACAATGATAGGAAAGAAAGAAAAGTTTTTCTTACACTGCTCTACAAATAAAACATAGTACTTATGTGAAAATGTAGATTTTAATTCTAAAATAATTAGAATTAAAATGAAATAAATATTTTAGAAATATTTATAATATTTATTTCTAAAATAAATATTTTAGAAATGAAATAATTCTAAAATGTAGATTTTAATTCTAAAATAATTAGAACCCTACCTAGATTCAAATTCAACCTCAACTGAAGTTTAAACCCATTTTTATAAGAATGCCATGGTTATATGACTTTTGAACACAAAAAATGCACTGGAGCAAACATCACAGCCAATGGTGAAATGTTAATTTAAAATATTTATTAATGTTAGGGATAAGACAGGATGGTAACATGAGGGAAAAAAGAGAAAAAAAGGAAGATAGAAATTAAAGATCAAAGGTTATAATACAAGACATCAAATGAATTTCTATTTGTACTTTAAGACTCATTCCAAGCCTGGGAACAGTGGCTCATGCCTGCAATCCCAGCATTTTAGGGCGAGACAAGTGGATCACCTGAGGTCCGAAGTTCGAGATTAGCCTGACCAACATGGAGAAACCCCATCTCTACTAAAAATACAAAATTAGCTGGATGTGGTGGTGCATGCCTGTAATCCCAGCTACTTGGGAGGCTGAGGCAGGAGAATCGCTTGAACCTGGGAGGCAGAGGTTGTGGTGAGCCCAAGATAGTGTCACTGAACTCCAGCCTGGGCAAAAAGAGCAAAAGTCCATCCCCACTCCCCCTCAAAAATAAGACTCATTCCAGTGTATCTCCCCTCTTAGATATTCCTCGCCTCCAAGGTGGGATTAATTAATGATCTCTTTGGTATTTCCACTGATACTAAATGATGCTTATAGCATTTATCTTGCTACTCTAATTATTTGTTATTACGTTCATCTCTCACAGTAGATTAGACTAGAAATCCCTTGAGGCAGGAATTATTTCCATGAACTCCTAATCCCCAGTTCCTGACAGATGTAAATACTTAATAATTCTGGAATAAGTAAATTAAATAAAAAATAAAAAAGATAAAAGCTATCATATTTAACCTGTTTGTTTTTTTGACTTCGATTTCTGTGACGAAGAGAAGAACTAATATTTGAAATATAGAATTTTATTTAGAAATGGTCACCAATTATATTTTAACAAAATATACCAAAGTAGTTTTATTCTTTCTCTTGTTTTTTTTTTTGAGCAGAGTCTTGCTCTGTTGCTTGGGCTGGAGTGCAGTGGCGTGATTTAGGCTCAATGCAACCTCTGCCTCCCAGGTTCAAGCAATTCTCCTGCCTCAGCTTCTGGAGTAGCTGGGATTACAGGCACCCGACATCATGTCTAACTAGTTTTTTTTTTTTTTTTTTTTTTGTATTTTTAGTAGAGACGGAGTTTCATCATGTTGGCCAGGCTGGTCTTGAACTCCTGATCTCAAGTGATTCGCCCACCTTGGCCTTCCAAAGTGCTACGATCACAGGCATGAGCCACTGTGCCTGGTCACAAGATACTTTTAGAAATAATGTCAGGCTTCTTTTGTTGCCAGAAAAAAAAACGTTGTGTATGTTTGTGGGGGGAGACTTACTTTCTGCAGTCTGCATTATTATTTCATCAAGTTCTTTTTCCAGTTTCTCATAAATGTCTAGCCTTGCTTGATGTTCTGAGTTCTGTGCTTGAAGTTCTGTAATGCGTTTTTCAGAAGAGGCCTGGAGACTATAAAATTCTTTGGTTAAAACCTAATAGTGAAAGAGAACAATTACAAAGGCAGAATTAATAGGTGCACAGTTAAGACAAAAACATGATGCAAAGACATACATAAGGCTTTTTTTTCCTTTTTATTATTTAAATATTAAGAGAAAGTAGCTCAATTAAGATGACTAATGAGGAAATTAAACTTATTTATCTCTAAGGTAAATAATTCAATTGTTTTTAACTGAAAATTATGAAGCACCTTATCCTTATTTTATAAGCTGAATAAAAAATAAATTTAAAATTAGGAATAATTACAGGAGTAATAGCATTTGCTTGTTAGAATTAAAAAAATACAATGTCATATTTACACAGAGGTCATTTATTTGGCAATCAAAGCTATTTGAGAGAGGCTTACAAAGCTGTTTGTAAAAACGATAAACTGACAATAAGTCCTTCAATTTTCCATCAGAGCTTATTGAATCTACTCTTACTATGATATTAATAACATTTCTGGTTTTCTGAACAGTCATACATTTAAAGCAGCAAATCATAAGGTAAATGTGAAGTGCTACTTGAGGCTGTATCAGAAGATGCCTTTGTGAAGAAAGTAAGTATTAAAACACATTAAAAATGAGATGCAAAAAGCATGGAAATTGGAGTCATTTTGTATATAAGCAAAAAATCCTACACTCCAATGATAATTCATTGAAGCAAACTCCATGATGACAACAATAAATAAACTAAGAAAAGAGATGCCTCTAGTGTTAAAGAAATGTTTTGATGCTTAAGTTCCAATTATCTAGAACATTTCCTTACTATTACAGACTAAATTATGGAGTGGATTACACCCGCTTCCTAACACAGCATAAGTAATATACTGTTTCCTGAGAGGCAACAGACTACTACAGTGAAGAATATGGTTTGGAGACAGAAAGATTTGGATTTCAATATGGTTTTGACACTTACTAGCTGTGATCGTACATAATTACTTATTCTTTATAGGCCTACCTTAAAACATTGTTGAAAGAATTACATGAGAGGATAAATTTACAGTGCTTAGCTGAGTATGTAGAATATAGTTAAGTATTGAAAAGTACTATTGCTACTATAAGAAATATAATTATATGACAATTCTGTATGAAACAGCTCATGCAAATAGGGTTCTACTAATATAATTATCATGAATTCTTTACAATTAAACACTTTTAAAGACAACTATTTTCCCTAATGACATAAAGTTCACCATATAAAATGTGTTTGATTGTGCTCGCTTCGGCACACATATACTTAAAAAAAAATGTGTATGATTATGGGCTGGGAGACCAGCCTGGCCAACATGGTGAAACCCCATCTCTACTAAAAACACAAAAATTAGTTGGAGTGTGATAGCAGGCACCTGTGAGATAGCAGCTAGTAGAGAGGCTGGGGCAGAAGAATCTCTTGAACCCAGGAGGTGGAGGTTGCAGTAAGCCACGGTTACTCCACTGCACTCCAGCCTAGGTGAAAGAGCAAAACTCCGTCTCAAGCCAAAAAAAAAGGTATATGTTTTTTGTGATGTGAAAAAAGGGAAAAGGACCTATTTATAGTTTTTAATGAGCAGAAATTACAATGTAATTTTCCTTAACTCACTTCAGGTCATTCCTTCAATTTTCAGCAAAACTTTCCCCAAAAGTAAACAAAACATTATCCCTCACTCTCCATATAAATTCCTTTGGAGAGCAGAGAAGGAATAAAATGGGACAACATCTTTAGGGTTTTAAATACTGAACATTGATTTGCTTCCGTAGACAGACACCATCTACAAATCTGGCTTATGTCTTTCTAAACATACATATATATTTAATACACTTTTATGTTTTTCACTAAGGCTTTATTTTCCGAGACCCTTTAGTTTCACTAATCAGGGTACTTTTCAGAAGTGCAATCTTGGAGAGATTATAAATATTATTAAATATTGTGGTGGTTAAAAGTATGGGATTTAAAGTGAGGTTGGTCAGGTGTTGAGGTCTAATCACAGTTTAGTCACCTACTAGTTGTGCGATATTAAATAATATAACTTCTCTAGAATAAAAAGGTAGAAATAAAATATTAAAATGAGTTAAGGCTGGTTTGTTAACAATCCCTTAACTTTGAAATCTTTTATTTTTACCTTATAAATTAAAAAAAAATATCTAGTATATATAGCTGTGTAAAGGGATACTGTCACCTAGTACTATAAGTGTATTTTCCATATTATGTGGTCTTAAAATATCAAATGAATACCATTAAAAAAGAAATATTTTGCTGAGCGCAGTGGCTCATGCTTGTAATCCCAGCACTTTGGGAGCATGAGGCACGTGGATCATCTGAGGTCAGGAGTTTGAAATCAGCATGCCTAATACGGTGAAACCCCATCTCTACTAAAAATATAAACATTAGCTAGGTTTGGTGGCACGTGCCTATAGTCCCAGTTACTTGAAAGGCTGAGGCACAAGACTCACTTTAACTTGGTAGGTGGAGGTTGTAGTGAACCGAGATAGCGTCACTGCACTCCAGCCAGGGTGATAAAGTGGGACTCTGTCTCAAAAAAAAAAGATAGAAACATTTTGGATAAATGACAAACGTATGCAATACATTTATTTCCAGATTAAAGACAAACCAGTTGTATTTTGTGATATTTATCCTGTAATTGAATTGCATTATAAGTTGGGGGAAAATACTTTAATATCCGATTTTCAATTGAGAAAGGCTTCTACTTTAATAACTTTCAGTTTCTTTGCATTTTAGTTTCTGTTAATGGCCTATAATTTCATATTTTTGTAACTGTAAAAGAAACTTTCACATGCAGAAAGGAAAACCGGAAGAGTATAATGCTTGAGTTTATTAGTGGGCACACTATTGTGGGGTCTGAAAAGTGAAAAAAATTATCTTTTATCCAACAAATAATTATCTTTTGGGAAAGGATATTTCATTTTCCTAGCATTTCCTAACTTTAACTAAAACAAAATTCTATGGCATCCAAAACAATATTTTGAGGACTTCTACGAACTGGTACTGAGCATAAATGGTTGTTTTATGTGAGCCAAACGGATTCTCTATAACAACATTTTGAAGCAGTTGCTATTGTTATTATTTCCAAAGAAAATGAGTAATTTATCCAGAGAGTGATGAGTAACTGGGTTCAAATCTTAGGTCTGCTGAGGCTAAAGCCCACAGGCCAATCCCTACCCAATATTGCTAGAAGAAATTCTATTTGGGTAGAAAAGAGCTTGTTTTCTTTTTTTTTAAATGATAAAACTAAGGAGAAAAGTTTTCAAATCCTACCACTGCCCAACAGTAAGAATGTGTAGAGCATGCAGTCCAATACCAGAGCCACTAGCTATATGCCACTACTTTTAGATTTAATTTAATTTAATTAAGAAGCTTGGTTCCTAAACACCAAACAGCCACAAGTGCTAAATAGCCACACGTGGTGAGTGGCTACTGAACTGGATAGTGCAGATTAAAACATTTCCATCATTACAGGAAGCTCTATTCAAAGCCCTGCTCAAAATTCTTAGTTTCCTGAAGATAGGAATCATTTCTTAAAATTTGTGTGTGTAATCAGGCCCAGCACAGTGCTTACGCCTAACAGATGCTCAGTTAGAAAGTACTGCATACTATCCATTCAATTAACTATGTGCCAGACTCTGGCTGAGACCTAGGAACATATTTTTAAAAAGGCCTTCGCCTAGTGGGGAGAATGAAGAAATAAAAATCACCCATAATCATACCATTTAATATCTGGATATATTTGGCCAGGTGTGGTGGCTCACGCCTATAATCCTAGCACTTTGGGAGGCTGAGGCAGGGGGCTCACTTGATGTCTGGAGTTTGAAACTAGTCTGGCCAACATGGTGAAACCCCATCTCTACTAAAAATACAAAAAAATTAGCTGGGCGTGGTGGCATACGCCTGTAATCTTAGCTACTTGGGAGGGTGAGGTGAGAGGATGGCTTAAACTGGGAAGGCAGAGGTTGCAGTGAGCCGAGGCTGCGACACTGTACTCCAGCCTGGGAGACAGAGCGAGAGACTGTCTTAAAAAAAAAAAAATTGGATATATTTCCTTCAAACGTTTTTCTATGTATGCTGATGATTTTCGCTGAACATGTAAACCACAGTCAAGACCATACTAATTTCATAACTTCATTCCATGTTTTTTTTTTTTTTTTTTTTTTTTTTTAGACGGAGTTTCGCTCTTGTTACCCAGGCTGGAGTGCAATGGCTCGATCTCTGCTCACCGCAACCTCCGCCTCCCGGGTTCAGGCAATTCTCCTGCCCCAGCCTCCTGAGTAGCTGGGATTACAGGCACGCGCCACCATGCCCAGCTAATTTTTTGTATTTTTTTTAGTAGAGACGGGGTTTCACCATGTTGACCAGGATGGTCTCGATCTCTTGACCTCGTGATCCACCCGCCTCGGCCTCCCACAGTGCTGGGATTACAGGCTTGAGCCACCGCGCCCGGCCCATTCCATGTTTTTAATGAGCCTTTCCCCCAATTCTAAAATACCCAGAACATGCAGTGCATGGACACAGCAAAATACACGATTTATAATATGCTAATTGAAAACTTTATCTACTGTTGGAAATTTACTTTCAATTTTTACATAATAATGCTGTGACATGTATCATTTATATGAACCTTTATATGTATCACTTACTATTTCCTTAGATAAAATTCCTTTAAGTAAAATTACTGGATCAGCTTTTTTTTTTTCTTTCCATTTTATTTTGGGAGTTTACTTAATATTTAAAAGCTGAGGAAAGATTAATATCACACCCTTGGCATATTGCCTACTGAAGCAGAGACTATAGGCTCAGATGCCAACAATCAATTCTTTTTTTTTTTCTTAAGCCACATGGCCATCGTTATTGGAGTACAGGTGGTATTTGGTTACATGAGTAAGTTCTTTAGCAGTCATTTGTGAGATCCTGGTGCACCCATCACAGGAGCAGTATATACTGCACCATATTTGCAGTCTTTGTCCACTGCCCACATCTCACTCTTCCCCTCAAGTCCCCAAAG